TGTTTTCATTTTCGCTCCATCTCTTCATTCTTTCTGGAGTTATTTCTCCACTGATCTCCACTAGCATATTGGGCACCTATCAACCCAGGGAGTTCATCTTTCAGCATCCTATCTTTTTGCCTTTTCACACTGTTCATGGGGTTCTCAAGGCAAGAATACTCAAGTGGTTTGCCATCCCCCTCTCCAGCAGACCACGTTGTGTCAGAATGCTCCAGCATGACCCTTCCATCTTGGGTGGCCCGACATGGCATGGCTCGTAGTTTCATTGAGTTCAACAAGGTTGTGATCCATGTGATCAGTCTGCTTAGTTTTCTGTGATTGTGGTTTTCAGTTTGTCTGCCCTCTGAGGGATGAGGATAGAGACTTATGGAAGCTTCCTGATGGGAGAGACTGACTGTGGGGCCTTATTCTGATGGGCAGGGCCATACTCAGTAAATCTTTCATCCAAGTTTTTGTTGATGAGTGGGCCTGTGTTCTCTCCCTGTTGTTTGGCCTGAGATCAAACTATGGTAGGGGTAATGATGGTAATGGCCACCTCTTTCAAAAGGACTTGTTCATGCACTGCTGTACTCAGTGCCCCTGAGCCCCAACAGGCCACTGTCGACCCACCCCTCTGCAGGAGACACCTGGACACTCACAGGCAAGTCTGGCTCAGTCTCTTGTGGGGACACTGCTCCTTTCTCCCGGCTCCTCGTGCACACAAGGTTTTGTTTGTGCCCTCCAGGAGTCTGCACTGGTCATAGCAAAACATCTTCTTCCAACAACACAAGAGATGACTCTACACATGGATATCACCAAGTGGTCAATACCAAAGTCTGACTGATTATATTCTTTGCAGCCAAAGATGGAGAAACTCGATACAATCAGCAAAAGAAAACAAAAAAAAGACCGAGAGCTGACTGTGGCTCAGATCATGAACTCCTTATTGCCAAATTCAGACTTTAATTGAACAAAGTACAGAAAGTCACTAGACCATTCAGGTATGACCTAAATCAAATTCCTTATGATTATATAGTGGAAGTGGCAAACAGATTCAAGGGATTAGATATGATAGACAGTGCCTGAAGAACTGTGGACGGAGGTTGGTGACACTGTACAGGAGGCAGTGATCAAGACCATCCCCAAGAAAAAGAAATGCAAAAAGGCAAAATGATTGTCTGAGGAGGCCTTGCAAATAGCTGAGAAAAAAAGAGAAGCTAAAGGCAGAGGAGAAAAGAAAAGATACAATCATCTGAATGCAGAGTTCCAAAGAATAGCAAGGAGAGATAAGAAAGCCGTCCTCAGTGATCAATGCAAAGAAATAGAGAGAAGCTATAGAACAGGAAAGACTAGAGATCTATTCAAGAAAATTAGCGATACCAAGGGAACATTTCATGCAAAGATGGGCACACAAAGGACAGAAATGGTATGGACCTAACAGGAGCAGAAGATATTAAGAAGAGGTGGCAAGAATACACAGAAGAACTAAACAAAAAATATCTTCATGACTCAGATAACCAGTATGGTGTGATCACTCACCTAGAGCCAGATATCCTGGATTGCAAAGTCAAATGAGCCTTAGGAAGCATCACTACAATTAAAGCTAGTAGAGGTGATGGAATTCCAGTTGAGTTATTTCAAATCCTAAAAGATGATGTTTTGAAAGTGGTGCACTCAATATGCCAGCAAATCTGGAAAATTCAGCCATGGCCACAGGACTGGAAAAGGCCAGTTTTCATTCTAATCCCAAAGAAAGGCAATGCCAAAGAATGGTCAAACAACTGCACAACTGCACTCATCTCACATGCTAGCAAAGTAATGCTCAAAATTCTCCCAGTGAGGCTTCAACAGTACATTAAATGAGAACGTCCAGATGTACAAGTTGGATTTAGAAAAGGAAGAGGAACTAGAGGTCAAACTGCCAACATCCATCTGTTGGATCACAGAAAAAGCAAGAGAATTACAGAAAAACATCTACTTCTGATTTACTGACTACGCCAAAGCCTTTGACTGTGTGGATCATAACAAACTGTGGAAAATTCTTCAAGAGATGGGAATGCCAGACCACCTTACCTGCTTCCTCAGAAACCTGTCTGTAGCTCAAGAAGCAACAGTTAGAATCGAACATGGAACAATGAACTGGTTCCAAATTGGGAAAAGAGTACATCAAGGCTGTATATTGTTATTTGACTTCTATGCAGAGTACATCATGCGAAATGCCAGGCTGGAGGAAGTAAAAGCTGGAATCAAGATATCTGGAAGTAATATAAATACCCTCAGATATGCAGATGACAACACCCTTATGGCAGAAAGTGAAGAGGAACTGAAGAGCTTCTTGATGATAGGCAAAGAGGAAAGTGAAAAATCTGGTTTAAAACTCAGCATTCAAAAAACAAAGATCATGGCATCCAGTCCCACGACTTCATGGCATATAGATGGGGAAACAATGGAAATAATGACAGATTTTATTTTCTTGGACTCCAAAATCACTGCACATGGTGACTGCAGTCATGAATTTAAAAGACCCTCCCTCACTCCTTGGAAGAAAAGCTATGATCAACCTAAACAGCATATTAAAAAGCAGAGACATTACTTTGCCGACAAAGGTCTATCTAGTCAAAGCTATGGTTTTTCCAGTAGTCATGGATGCATGCAAAAGTTGGACCATCAAGATAGCTGAGCACTGAAGAATTCATTCTTTTGAACTGTGGTGTTGGAGAAGACTCTTGAGAGGTCCTTGGACTGCAAGGAGATCAAACCAGTCCATCATAAAGGAAATCAGTCCTGAATATTCATTGGAAGGACTGATGCTGAAGCTGTAGCTCCAATGCAAAGAACTGACTCATTGGGAAAGACCCTGACGCTGAGAGTGATTGAAGGCAGGAGGAGAAGGGGACGACAGAGGATGAGATGGTTGGGTGGCATCACCAACTCGATGTACATGACTTTGAGCAAGCTCTGGGCGTTGGTAATGGACAGGGAAGCCTGGTGTGCTGCAGTCCATGGGGTCGCAGAGTCGGACACAACTGAGCGAATGAACTGAAACATAAAATACTAAATGCTGATGAAATGTTTTTAAAGTGTGGCTATTATATTTTACTTTCTAAAGATGCTCTAAAGTAATTTTCATCAGTGGTTCAAGATATTCCAGGATAAATATCATCTTACTGAAGTAATCTTTGAAAAATTCCCATGCACACCCCAGCTCTTTTTTTTTTTCATTCTTTCAGAAACACTGTTCTATACAGATTTAGTATTCACCTGGTGAAGAGAATGAGCTACAATATTAAAAATGATTCATTCTCAAAAATCTCACAGAAGGGTTAGGATTACAAGAGAAACACAGAATTCTCAATCAGATCATTACTCAAATTTCTAGACTCGAACAGATGTTTGTGTACCAATGTTCAAGGCAGCATTATTAACAATAGCCAGAAAGTGGAAAAACCACGATTTCATTGAGGAATGAACAAACAGAATATTTTCTATATAAAATGTTGCTTTTGGACTGGATTGTCACAAACTTTTAAATTAAAATCTTACTACAAAAATCATTAACTTTATGAATTCAGTCCATTTCTTCTATAAAGAGTAACTACACTCATCTCACACACTAGTAAAGTAATGCTCAAAATTCTCCAAGCCAGGCTTCAGCAATACATGAACCATGAACTCCCACATGTTCAAGCTGGTTTTAGAAAAGGCGGAGGAACTAGAGATCAAATTGCCAACATCCGCTGGATCATCGGAAGAGCAAGAGAGTTCCAGAAAAACATCTATTTCTGTTTTATTGACTATGCCAAAGCCTTTGATTGTGTGGATCACAATAAACTGGAAAATTCTGAAAGAGATGGAAATACCAGACCACCTGACCTGCCTCTTGAGAAACCTGTATGCAGGCCAGGAAGCAACAGTTAGAACTGGACATGGAAGAACGGACTGGTTCGAAACAGGAAAAGGAATACATCAAGGCTGTATATTGTCACCCTGCTTGTTTAACTTATATGCAGAGTATATCATGAGAAACGCTAGGCTGGAAGAAGCACAAGCTAGAATCAAGATTGCTGGGAGAAATATCAACAACCTCAGATATGCAGATGACACCACCCATATGACAGAAAGTGAAGAGGAACTAAAAAGCCTCTTGACGAAAGTGAAAGAGGAGAGAGCAAATGTTGGCTTAAAGCTCAACATTGAGAAAACTAAGATCATGGTATCTGGTCCCATCACCTCATGGGAAATAGATAGGGAGACAGTGGAAACAGTGTCAGATTTTTTTTTTTGGGGGGGGGGGTTTCCAAAATCACTGCAGATGCTGTTTGCAGCCATGAAATTGAAAGACACTTACTCCTTGGAAGGAAAGTTATGACCAACCTAGATAGCATATTAAAAAGCAGAGACATTACATTGCCAACAAAGGTCCGTCTAGTCAAGGCTATGGCTTTTCCATTGGTCATGTATGGATGTGAGAGTTGGACTGTGAAGAAAGCTGAGCGCCGAAAAGTTGATGCCTTTTAACGGTGGTGTTGGAGAAGACTCTTGAGAGTCCCTTGGACTGCAAAGAGATCCGACCAGTCCATCCTAAAGGAGATCAGTCCTTGGGGTTCGTTGGAAGGACTGATGCTGAAGCTGAAACTCCAATACTTTGGCCACCACATGCGAAGTGTTGACTCAGTGGAAAAGACCCTGATGCTGGGAGGGATTGGGGGCAGGAGGAGAAGGGGGCGACAGAAGATAAGATGGCTGGATGGCATCACGGACTCGATGGGCATGAATTTGAGTAGACTCCGGGAGTTGGTGATGGACAGGGAGGCCTGGCGTGCTGCCGTTCATGGGGTCGCAGAGAGTCGAACACAACTGAGCGACTGAACTGATGCTATTAGTAGCAAGCAGTATTAGTAAAATAGCATAAACTTTTTAATCAATGAGACTTTCCACATTGTCCAAAATATTCTTATATATTTCTATTAAAAAAATTAAAATTCTTCCTCAGTATGACAGAAATTAAGAGGTTGACTTACCAATCTTATATTTAAGAGGTTTTTCTGAAGCTGTTCAATTTCGCCCGCTTGCTTTTTGACTGTCATTTGTAACTCAGCATTTTCAATTTCAAGCCTAAAAATGCTGATTTTAAAACAATGATTCTCACACATAGGGTTTCTTGTTTAAAGATGTTTTTGAATGTGGACCGTTTTTAAAGCCTTTATTGATTTACTGCAATATTGCTTCTGGTTAATGTTTTGGTTTTTTGGCTGTGAGGCACGTGGGATCTTAGTTCCCCAACTAGGGACCAAACCCACACCCACTGCCTTGGAAGGCATAGTTTTAATCACTGGACTGTCACGGCAGTCCTTCACACACAGATTTTTAAAATACCACACTGTTTCTGAACAAACATCTGCAGGTTCAATTATGTAGGCTTTTAGAATTTTGAAAAGTAAATGATTTGACAGCTGTACTGTTTTTCTAGTTGTGTTTTGTGGATAATTGGCTTCCTTGGTGGCTCAGACGGTAAAGGATCTGCCAACAATGCAGGAGACCAAGGTTCGATCCCTGAGTCAGGAAGATCCCCTGGACAAGGAAACAGCAACCCACTCCAGGATTCTTGCCTGGAGAATTCCATGGACAGAAGAGCCTTGTGGGCTATGGTCCATGGAGTCATAAAGAGTCGGACATGACTCAGTGACTAAGACTTTCACTTTTCACTTGTGGATAATGTGCAAAATATGGAAATAATGGGGGAAAATATGCATCTCAAAACAGCTCAAAGCTGAAATGTTTACCCAGCTTCACAATGATGTTTTTATTATCATTACTGATCTAATTCTCATATTATACTGTTTATCTGCTTTATACCTAAGTTGTTTTCTGTGCTGCTTTAAATCATACTTTTGGATGTGATCCTGTGTTTTTTCAGCACATCTCACGGCCCCTGTATGTTGATCTTGTGTTTCTTGAGGCTGAAAATAGAAAAAGGAAAAAAAACAACTGTTTAATTACTAATAACCTAGCGAATCTGCCAATGTCAGTTTATGTCTCTCCCATCTGCATACTGCTTATGGCTGCTTTCCTGCCATAGAGTAGAGTTGAGTTGTTACAATAAACCCCTTACAGTCCAAAAAGTGAAAATATTTACTGTCTGCCCTTTGTTCGTTACTGAACTCTCCTTTCGGACTCAAACACAAAATCATTCATGCTTTAGATTAGATTTTCTCAAATAAATACACAAATTTATAAACTGCCCAGATGGGCAAAGACAGCAAATTACCTGACGATGAACATATATACATATATTTTTATTCCAAGCTCCATATCAGCCATCACTTTAAGTACCCACATAGGTGAATGACCACGGGTCTTCCAGTGATTATAAAAGCTAGCACTGCTGTTGGTGACAACCAGATGCTTCAGGGACTAGTGTGAGAGGCAGGAACTACCTGGGAGCTAGAATCCATGGGCCTGTGTTCCAATTCCCTCAGTTCTGAGCTGTGAGTCCTGGGGCAAATTACTTAACCCTTCTGTATCTCAGTTTCTCCATCCATAACATGGAGATAGTGGTAGCATCAACCTCTGTGGGATGCTGGGAAGATTAAACTGGGGACTATACATAATGTATTTAGAAGAGGAGGTGGCAGATACTAAGAGCTGTTTGTAATTGGCGTTATTACGGTCGCTGTATTTTACCTGCAAAACAATTTGATAATTCAGGCAGACGACATGCCAACAGAAGTGGTCTTCTACACAAGTCACCCTGAAATCCCTCTCCATACCGTTGCAAGGGGCAGTAAGGGGGAGCATGAGGCCCAGAACACATGCCCAGAACTTCAAAACCGTTCACTGACTCCACTAGCCAGCTAGTGCTCTAGTACTTTTCTCCACTTCCAGTAATTTGTAACTTACTTCCTCTCTGTACTACTCAGTGGACAATGACCACAGGTTAATATGCACATAGCACCTCCTGGACAGAGTGTGGTGCAGAACTTACATGACCGTCAGAGGAAGAAGGGTGAAGTCACTGCCATGGAAATATTACCCTACTGCTAAATCAAAGTTCTGAGTCAATTCATTCCCACAGCTGTTAATGTCTAGCAAGCACTCCGGTGAGACAATTCAGGTTACAAGGTACGGATATCAGGGAGGCTATTCCCAGAACTTTACATTTGGCGAAAGGCTAGAAATCTGTAAATCCCACTTCTGCCTACATAACGAAGGAAGGCAAATTTACACTTTTCTCCCAGAGTCAGGGAGAAAAATGAGCTTTTAATTGAGCAGTTCTCCTCTATTAGACTAAGCGCTTTCAATTTTACATTGAGTTGCTAAAAATACATTTTAATAAAAGTTTTACTATACAAACATCTTCAAGAAGAAATAACTGGCATGGCATGAAGTACTTAGTTTTGTCCTAACAATTGTTAAGCTAAACTGTTTTCCATTTATGCAAGACAAGTGCTGTGCCTATCAACAAATATTCCCTGTTAGACCAAGGTATACCCAGATAAGATTCTCCCTCATGAAAACAATTACAACAATGCAAAATTAAGGGCTAGATTGTTCTTCACAGACTACATGACAGGGCTGAAGAGAAAAGGCTCAATGAGAGCTGGACAGTCAGGAAAGCTCCATGCAGGAGGAGAGACTGGGCACCAGGTCTGAATAAATGGAGGACTACCCAAGAGGAAAAGAAACTGTGAAGACAGAAAGGACAATCTGAGCAAAGGTCAAGGAAAGGTGAAATCAGCCAGTGAACTCTGAGGACAAAATCCATCCACAGGAAAATAAAAACATGTCCATCCAGAAATGCGTAAACCAATGTTCACAGCAGCATTATTAATAGTCACAAAGTGGGAACAACTCAAATCTCCATCAACTTATGAATGGATAAATATAGCCACGTACTGTTTATTGTTTGACAGTCAACAGAAATGGAAGAACTGATATGTGCTATAACATGGATGAACCGTAAAACGACATCCAATGAGAAAAGCTAATCCCAAAGGAGCATACTGCATGATTCCATTTATATAAAACACACAGAACAGGCATGTCTACCGAGAAAGATATTAGACTGGGGGTTGCCTGGGTCTGAGGGAGATGGGGGGTCATAGGAGGTAGCTAAGGGATGCAGGGCTTCTTTGGGGGTTGTAGAAATGCTCTAAAATTGCCTGTGGTCACAGGTGACACCTATCTAGACTAAGAGATACTGAACTACACACTTGGAATGGGTGAATTATATGATATGTGAATTATATCTCAATAGCTTTTTAAAAATCCAAAGGCACCATCTAGATAATCTTCTTAATTCTCTATTTTCGATGTAGGTATTATACTCCCATCTGAGTACCCCATGCTTTTACAATGTATCAAAAATGAAGAGAAGGCAGTGCCTAACTTCAACTGGTTTGTATAATACACTTTCTGCACAAGTTGTTCTGAAATGCACAAAATAAATATATACAGAACTGCACCGCCATTCAGAAAAGTGAAGATGAGAAATGATAATTTTCTGGAACATTCCATTAAACATTATCCTCTGATTTTATCTGGCTTGCCTCATCATGGTAATACAGGGATCATGAAATAAAATATTGTTCAATCGAAGAAAAAGTCTCTCCACAGATGTATAGAACAGACTTTTGGATTCTATGGGAGAAGGCAAGGGTGGGATGATCTGAGAGAACAGCGTGGAAACATGTATATTATCAAGTGTGAAACAGATTGCCAGTCCAGTTTGGACGCATGAGACAAGTGCTCGGGGCTGATGCACTGGGATAACCCAGAGGGATGGGATGGAGAGGGAGGTGGGAAGGGGGATCAGGAGGGGGAACACATGTAAATCCATGGATGATTCATGTCAATGTATGGCAAAAATCACTACAATATTGTAAAGTAATTAGCCTCCAACTAATAAAAATTTTAAAAAAATAAAGAACTCCAAAAAAAAAGAAAAGAAAAAGAAGTCTCTCAAGTTGTGTGAAGAATGATGCACAATTCTCCACTTTCCTAAGGGTATATAATATACGAAAACAATATATATAATGCAAATGGCAGAATGAAAGTCAGAGTTTAAGAAATGAGTGCACTTAAAGATTTAAAAAATTATAGTAAATTACTAGTAATGAAAATAAAAAAGAAAGCTTTCCATGAAAAAGAGCGTCCTAAAACACTTTATCCTATGTATTCACTGTCGACACATTCAGGTTCACACATACCTGACTTGTGAGTTGATGTAAGTTCTTTAAATCCCGTGCCTCAACTTCTAACTTCGCATGATAACGTGACATGACCTCCAGGGACGCCTCCGACGAAGACTGCTTTTTGAGGCTATCAGCCAGTTCTTGCCAAAGTTGTCTCACAACTGCCTAATAAGATTCTCTGTCACTGAGTTTATCAAATCACTTTATTATGACGTTGTGTTAGTAATACATAATGCCAACATATGGACTTTGAAAACTATCACCACACACAGCAACTCACCTTCTTTCCCTCCTCCCTGAATGTGGCTGCAGACCCAGAAGGGCCCCCCACCGGCCTTCCTGATATTAAGTTCCTCAGACGAAGGAGGCAGCCCCACTGTCCACGCCCTGCCCCTCCCGATAAATCTGCAGAGCTCCACCACCTCACGTCCAGAATGAAACAGGTGTGTAGGTGGGACAAGCAGTGGAAAATTCCACCCTGTGGAAACATTTTTCCTCTTTCTTTATCAGAGGCTTCGATTAACATCAGAGATCTTCACATATTTAATCCAGTGCTCAGATCTTTCCAACAGATTCCTATCCCAGCAGAAAAATGAGGCCATTCCCTTGGGGCTTATCTATCTGATATCTGGTCGTGTGTCTATGTTAATCCCAGACTCTTAATCTCCCCTTCCTCCCTGCCTCTGCCCTTGGCTCACCACCAGGCCCCACTGCGGAGCACAGGGGGCTCTGCTCAGGGCTCTGCAGTAACCTGCCTGGGAGAGGACCTGGGAGAGAACGGATACGTGTGTAACTGCACCAACGTGCTGTGCACCCGAAACTAACGCAGAAGTATAAACCAACTACACTCCAAAATAAAGGAAAAATACAATTTACAAATGAGGTTGCTCCCATGGCCCTCAAGGAGCCTCGATAGCCTGGCCTCCACCTGCCTCTGGACCACAGCCCGTACAGCCCTCTCCCTGACTCACTCCATTATTGCTGCTCTCAAGTCCTGCCACCCTTCATTTTTATTGGGCAATCTGGTATTCAAATGATAGCAATTGATCCTTAAAATGAGAATTATGAGTAAATTGTTTGTAAACATATTCTAAGTAAATAGCAGTCGGAAGATTAAAACAAGAAGAGCTTGGTTAAAGCTCACCACTTGAGTCCCAAATTATGATTTAATGACAAGTATACTTAAATGACTTGTCAATGAATTCTCAATTTAATGACAACTCTTTAAAGAGTTGAGAGGTCATAAGAATAAATGATTCAAGCCTGAAATGTTTTACAAGTTAATTCAAATTTACATAAACAAAATTAAAATTATACCAACAAATATGACAGAAAGGTATGGCAAGCTACTGAAGCCAAGGTACTATATATAAGTGATAGCATCTGGGAAACATGGAATTGACTGTCAATGTAATCCATGTAACTGAAGCTTAATTTCAAAATATTCAGTTTAGGTTTGAGCATTTCTTTTATCTGCTTCATCATGATACTGACATGTGGTTATATAGAGGTTAAACTTATTTTCTGAATAGTAAAAGAGTAAATTACTAATACCTGTCTATATTAAAAATTTAGAATTTAATCTCAACATTTCATAAGCGACACGATGTCTCTACTCAAAGTGAAGCATCTCTCGGGCCTAATTTTTATTTGCTGGATACAAGGTGTGCTTTTTAGTCTGTTTTAGAGACCATAGACTCATAGCCTGTGTATTTTTTATATTCATCTAGATTCAACATTTAGCCAGAATTAAGAATCACTTTGAATTTCTTTCAGGAAGTCTGAGAATTATTTCTCCTTCTGGATACTTACTTTTCTTTCTGCTTTCTTATTTTCATACTGACACATTCTCTCTTCTAAATAACTACATTTGTTGGTTAAATCCTTGTTTCTTTCTTCCAGCATCAGACCTTGTTTCTCATGTTCAGCACGAAGATTTTTCATGATCTGCTGAAACTGGTCTTGGATGCTAATAACTATCTTCTCTTTACTGTCGGCTCTATTTTGTGCATTATCCAGCTGCTGTCGGAGCAACATGTTTTCACTCTGGAGTTGAGATAACCTCTCCTCTAAGGATTCCTGCTTTCCAAGATATTCCTTCACTTTGCCTTGTTCAATCTGATACATGTGTCCAATATCCTGCTTTTGATGCTCTGCTTGGAGTAAGTCTCTCTGGACAGGTTCTAATATCAAAGTCTTTTCTCCGAGATCATCTCTCGTCTGATACAGCTTGATTTTTAGCGTATTGAATTGATTTTCCACTTTAGAAAGTCCCTGGGAAAGCATCTCATTGTCACTTTTCGGCTTAGCCATATCGAACTTCATTGGGTCCTGCAAGCGTAACGTCTTGTCTTTTGCTTTCTGGGAGGCAAGTGACAGGTTTCTTTGTGATATCTGACCTTGATCACGATTGTGTATGGCAGCAGCCAGTCTAGAGTGGTAGGATTCCACTTCTGTTTCCAGTCTTTCTTTGCTTCGCTTTGCGTTCTCCAGCTCAGGGTTTAGCATTGTATTTTCAGCTACCGGAATGGTAAGCTGGCCAGGATGCTGGAATATGGCCTTTGTCAACATTTCCTTGTTCAATTTTATTGCCTTTTGAGGATAATCATTCTCTCCTTTTACAATTTCAGTACCCTCAAAACATTTCTTTTCTTTCTCCTGGTTCTGATTTTTCCCTGTGTCTATTTCTAATCTTGGCATGGCAATTTCATCCTGCATGTGGCTTTTGCGCAACAGACCTTTTGCCTTTCTACCACTATCAGAAACCTAAGTGAGACAAAGGAGACTTTGAGTTAGTACTCACTAAAATGACATTTCACCATTTCCTCTGAAATGAAAGACTAACCTGTATGTTTATACAATGAAAAGACTGCACCAAGTGGATATCCAAATGGAAAAAATAAGGTTCAGTACAAACCTCAGACCTTATACAAGCAGAAATTCCCAAAGGTTCAAACATTTAATTGAAGACAATGAATCCATGAAAGGACAGAGAAAGCCCAAGAGACTTTTCAAGAAGCTCAGAACTGGAAAGGGTTTCTCTGAATTACAACATACCCAGAAAGCTTAAAATAAAAGATTTATAGATCTAACTACACCTAAAAATTGCATCTGATGTGGTATATTTATATAATGGAAAACTACAAAGCCATAAAAAGAATGAAATAATGCTATTTGCAGCAACAAAGATGGACCTAGGCATGATCACACTAAGCGACGTAAGTCAGACAAAGAGAAGTCATACTGCTTATATGTGCAATCTAAAATGAACTTATTGACAATCCAGAAAGAGACCCACCGACGTAGGAGACAAACTTACTCACCATACGGGAAAGGGGGTAGGGAAGGGATAAATTAGGAGGTTGGGTTTAACATATACCATTATATATAGACAAGTGTGTATAAAATAACCAGTAAGGTAGGGACACACCATGGCCTCATCCAAGGAGAGGCCTTCAATATTTTCCATGGGAATTAGTCTCAAAATTTTTGCGACTGTCTCGAAGGAGCCGGGACCCTGACTGCGGCTTAGGCCAGGCAGAGCGCTTATGCTCCCCCGTCGACTGCGCTGCACACCATGCCCTTGTGCTCTGCGGGGAACGTGTGAGTCCCTCCTCGCCCGCATCATCTCCGGTGTCTCAGTCAGAGTCCGCCCCTGGCTCCACTCTCGTTTCTGTAACCAGTGCCCTGTCAACGGCTTTTTCACATCGTTTACAGTTTTTCAGTTTGTAAAAGCTGCAGCATCAGTTGTAAAAATACTTTTGTACACTTTAAAAAAATGTTTCTTTGGAATAAACTTATAAAAGTCCCCCTCCCACCAAGGAAAAAAAGTAAAAAAAAAAAAAAAAAAAAAAAAACCTCTTGCTATTAACAGCATTTATTCTGGTTTTTAGTAGTGATTTCCCTTCCTTGATCATTAGGTTAATTTATCACTTCCACTGAAGGTAAGGAGGAAAAGTAGAGGCAGTTCAGAGGCCATACTTTGGAAGTCATTCTTGTACTTCTGAGAAAACGAACCCTCATTCTGTGTAGTGTTCTCCTTCAGTACAAGGAACTTTTGAAAACAGTGATAGATATGCCATAGTATACATCTAGTGATAATTATGTTTCTCATTGTATTCCCCCATCTTACTGTTTTAAACAGTATGAAGATATAATGAAAGTTCCTGCAGCAGAAAACAATCTCATGATCCTCTAAGAAGAGCTCTCTAAATTTTACCTTATTTACCATTAGTGTATATACCATGAATGAAATAGGATGCTGTTTTCCTTGCAGGCCTAAAAAAAAAAAAAAGATTCTTTTCAGGCTAAAATTTGATAACTCAAAAATATAAACAATACTTAAATGTTTGATTTTTATATAACATCTTTGCATTCATAAGTAATTTTTATAAAAGGATGAAACAATAAAAAAGAGCTGCATTAAAGGACAAAGAAAATATATCTATAATAGTAATGAAACATTAAATTTAGATTAATGGAAAAGGAAAAACCTAACATTACTTGCGTTATGTGACAGAAGCAGTTTACCGGGGCTTTTTGCAGTTGTCCTTTTTAATAAGAACTAACTTCTATGGCAATAAAACCTATCTCCAAAGTATTCCCTAAGTCCTTATAAGAAAGAAACCCATTTTTTTATCACCAGGATATTAGCTTTTTGAGGGCTTATTATGCAACGGCTATGCATATTATGCATTTTAATGCTCACGATCATTCTGGGAGAGAGGTAATATATTAGATCCTTTATATAGGAAGAGATGGAGCAAAGAAAGGCTGAGGAACGTGCCCAGGACCACACAGCAGTTCACTAACAGCCCAGAATTCAAACCCAGGAAATCTGGCCTGAATGCTGCTGCTCCAAAATATGCTGAGAAAGTGATATTGAAAAGTCTTTTTAAGTAATATGATACCAAGTGAATCTATATTATTATTTCATGTCTAGCTATAACTACAAATGATAATTCTAAATCTTAAAACATTTCTAAGAAACAAAAAGACTAGATGTAGGCAATATTGGAAATCTACTTTCAATAAAGATTTGTTTTTTGTAAAGAAATTCATCAATACACATTCGTGCAGCCATTCTGCTGTTTCTTCATGCATCTGACATGCACTTATGGAGCACATAATATGTGTTAACGACAATTTAGTACAGGAAGCATGGCTTTTGTCATTTAGATCTTTATCATCCAAAGTAATAAACTGTAAAAGATTGTGAATTGTTTCTATTGAAAATATACAAAATCCTCCCCTTTTCCCTGCAAGCTATAAACAACTATGAAGTTAATATAATGTGATGTTTCAGAGTACCTTACAATATCATAGCTACCCACGATGATACTATCAACTAGAATCAACAAGAAATGATTAAATCCTATTCAGTATAACCTAAGTATTTGTAAATTCATGATTATATAATTTTTTAAAATCTATGTATGATAGAATTAACTTAAGTAATCATCTACATATTCATTGACATAAGAATATTACACTTCAGAGCCAATGAACAAGCCCTTACCAAGAACTACATATGAACAGAAGTACATATGTACATAATGATCATGTACAATAATAATGCACAATTAATTTATTGTAATAGTTTAAAGATAATGTCATACAATCAATAAGCTTTCTAATATTGGGAATGCAGATAAGATTAAACTCAATAGACACTTCCTCCGCTGGCTCATTTCCAACAGCATACATATCTACAAGCTCCTCTCTGAACATGAAACAAGAAACTCCTTTCAACTCCACATTGCTCTTCAGTTACCATCCAGGCCTCCGTTCCTGGCCCAGGATATATTCCCTACGGAGCTGTTTACTTGTGTTCACTGCAGTCCAGCTTCCAAGTGGACTATTTACTGAAACGACTTCCGGCCAAAGGCTCGGATCCTCTCCTTCACCTTTCTGCCATGTTCATCCAGTAGAGTTGAGGATTCTCTTCTCTTGGCCTGTATGCTATATTATGCTGCTCTATTTCCAGAAGAAGTATTCAGGGCTAATATTTCTTCCCCTAGAAATAAAGAATTTGTCCATGTTACCTGCTGTCATCTTGATACACTTTCCTTAAAATGCTGTCATCCTTCACGTGCAGCAGCCCATCAGTCAGTGAATTGGTCTTTTCAAATACTGGTACAATCACACATTCTTCTGGTGTCCATTTGTCATTTTTCTTTTTCTCTATCTTCTTCCTGGGGATGCCAGGATTGCTACTTTTAAAAAATCCACAAAAAAAGCCAATGTTTTCAAATAATTCGACTAATAAAGAATAAAAAAATAATTCTTGCAAAATTCCAACTCTTACCCGTCTGAAATCATTGATTAGTTCACAAAACAGTTATGAAGTATCAACCATACGCAAGAAAACAAATTCTTCCTTCAAACACAGACACACAATTATGATACAATATGATATGTAAGAGTTGACATATGAAAGTGATAAGTGAACTAAGGAAGGCTTTATGGAAGAAGTGAAGAGAGGAGGTCAAAAGGAAGAGAAGAGCAAGAAATCATTCTACTGGGAGATTAGAATGTGAGTACACAGATCAGGCACATGGCATCTGGGGTTGTTTCCTAGAAACCTGGAAGGAAAACTACAAAACACATGAAAGAAAGTAGAGAGATGCACCTGGAAAGACATTGGGAAGAACCTCAAGGGCTACACTGAAAACCTCGAGTCCACTGGCTAAGCACAATGATTCTTAGACATGGGAGTCATGATTAGATTTACACTATATATAATTCTTTGCTTTTAAAAACAGTAATGTTTGACCTAGGAATTTCCCTGGTACTCCAGTGCTTAGGAATCTGCCTGCTCATGCAGGGGGCACAGGTTCGATCCATGGTCAGGGAAGACAGCACATGCCTCACGCAGAGCAATGAATAATGTGCTCCACAACCACTGAAGCCAGCACCCTAGAGCCCACGCTCAGCATCAAGAGAAGCCACCACAATGAGAAGCCCAAGCACTGCGGCTGCAAAGAACCAGCGCAGCCAAAGAAATTACAAAAAAAAAAAAAAAAACCTCAAAGAAAAAAGTAACACTTAATTTAGATGATTTTTAAAATGGCATGTGGCACATCCACCGTGAAAGAAGAAATCAAATTTAGTGGGGCGGGGGGCAGTTTACTTGTAAACCACCCACATGATGGGGTGACATCAGCATCATGGATGAAAGGCAGGTGCCTCATCAGTTCTCCTGCCACCAACAGCAATTTGGCCTCCATCCATGGACATACTCAAAGTGCTAGGAGGAGAAAACTGCCAACCAAGAGGACTCGATCCAGAAAAGTTGTCTTTAAGAAATGAAGGAGAAACAAAAGCTTTCCCAGACAAAGCAAACCTGAGGGAGTTCATCACCACTAGTCTCGCCTCATAAGAAATGCTGAAAGAAGTCCTCAAACTGGAATGAAACGATGTTCATTAGTGACATAAAATAAATTTAAATATACAACACACTGGTTAAGGTAAGTAGGCAGTCAAATCCAGAATACTCTATTATGTAACATGGTGGTACATTAACAAAGCAACTAGTATGAAGGCTAAAGGATAAGAGTGTTCAAAATAACTATACCCCTAGTAAAATATAAAATTCGTAAATCACAAACATTAGCTCAAGTTAGAAATCATTTTACCGGAAAATAACAAATGGCCTACTGTTAGATATTGATATAGGCTTACCCATCAGAACCTTTATTCTCCATAGCAGGAAATTCCTGCTTGTTATTTCCTCCACTCTTTCTCTGCTGAATCAATTGACTCTCAGCATCGCATACGTGGTCTGATACTTCCACTTCTCTACTTTTGTGCTTCTTTTCTTCTTCAACCTTTAATGAAATTTTGACACTAAGAATAATTGCTATTACTTAATTCTAAAGACTCTGTTTTCAATTTATTATTTGACTCAGCATTTGCCCGGATTTTAAGTGATAAAAATATTTTTGTGCTTACATTAATTTTATCACAAGTCACTGAAAGTGTTGTAAAATGTGCTTCTTTCTCTTTGAGGGAAAGAAACAAAATTCCCAAAATTTCAAGAAAGGCTTTCTTAATAAGATACAATTTTCCCATCCAGTCTTCCCCATCTGACTGGCAGAGATAGAGAAATAAAAACACACCACATATGTCCTCTTCAGTCTTTACCACCTGGATTTTCCATTGAACAGTCAGATGTAGAGGATGTGACACCTTAGTGCCTCAGAAACAGAAAAGAAGCTTTCTTCTTTCTGCACTAAAGCTATTCTTTCCCCACTGCCTTTTCCAATTCTTTTTTCATTTGGATCCAGGAGATAGCAAAAAACCTGATGGTGTTCACTGAAATATATGACCCAAAGTTTACCAAAACACAAGGAGCAGGATGAAACTGAGGAGGTGTTAGTTAGTGTGGAATTCTGGAATATAAGGAATGCTTCCCAATTCCACATTCAATAACCATCCAATTTTATAGTTAGAGTGTATAGAAATACCTATCTATCTTTGCCCCACTATTTACCAATAACAGCTTTAAAATCAAAAAGGGTAAATGAGTTGTTCAAAGCCCCTAAAATGGCATTCCCTAACATTTTATGGCACCAAAAGAGATGATACAATTCTGTCATCTTGAATCTGATAAAATTACCAAATGAATTCCTCAAATGAATCAGGTAAGTTCAAAGCGTGACTTTGGCAAAGTAATTTAATTCATTAATTGGGGGTAGGGTTCATTCTCCTTTTTCTTTAAAGGAGAATAGCTACATTTTTCTCCTTTTTTGTCTTACACAGAAAAGCAAGCACATTTAAAAACGTACTACTGAAGAAAGAAAAATCTCACAGCATCTCAAATCTCAGTTTTTCCTTTGGCGATAAACACTTGATTTTTTCTTTTTTCTTTCTTTTTTTTTTTTTTTTTTTGCTGAGAGTTTATACTATCTATGGGCTTCCCTGGTGGCTCAGATGTTAAAGAATCTGCTTTCAATGCAGGAGACCTGGCTTCAATCCCTGGGTTGGGAAGATCCCGTGGAGAAGGGAACAGCTATCCACTCCAATGATATTCTGGCCTGGAGAAATCCGTGGACAGGGCAGCCTGGCCAGCTACAGTCCATGGGGTCACAAAGAGTCAGACACAATTGACCAACTCTCACACACGCACATACTACCTATGTGACAAAATCACACATGTCAAAACTTACTACATTTTAGTAAACAACATTGTGAAGCAGTCTCTCTCAAAAGAGACATCTGAGAGTGGTGATTAAAGCATAGGTGGGAGTGCATGTGTTTGTTATTAAAAACATCCTGAGGTGGCCATGTTGGAAATCTAAGTGCCCAGGGACTGGGGAAAGCAGAGAAGATCACACATATTCAATCACAATGAAGAGATTAGAGGGAACACATGTTCATGTCCGTTCTCTGTTTCTGCTTTCTTCCCATTCTGTGGAAATACAACTTATATTTAATCCAACAGAGTGAAAAAAAACAACAAACGCAAAACCTTAGTTGATCATACTCCTTAAACACTTTCCTTAGTGCTTATTCTGGCTCAGAAGGTCACATGGTATGGAGCTAAATGAGTTTCCCAGTCCATATGAAAGACTGACAGAGACAGCATTAGATTGATTGAAGGACGAAAGCTATGAAAACAGTTTCCTGAATTCCTATTATTTGGATGGCAGAAATAATCTATTTCTACACAATTACCTATTTAGATGACCCCACTTTATTCATAAGTAGAAAATCAAAATGGACCAGATCATCCAGAAAGGGAAAAACCAAAGCAAGAGCAAATGAACCTTTACCTCTTTTGGAAGCTGAATTTTCTCTTTTTCCAAAGCTAACAACACTACTTATAGCATGTCTATTTCATTCTTAAACCTCTGCAGATCCTTCTGTCATTCTTCACTTAGATACACTTTGGATGCTCTGTGACTATTTGGTGGAGAAGAATTCCCATTTTTCAAACGGGTTCCACACTTTCATCATCACTAGCACGGCAATTACCTGCATGCAGTAGCTTCTGGAACCAGTCCTGTATTGGTTTGCTTTTCTTATCAGTATTTTTCATGACAGCAGGAGTACCGTGACTTTGTATTTGAATTATGTGTTTCATCTTACCAGAGCAGACAAGCCACAGACTAGACTGACGTGTCTGTCCAATCTCTAATTTCCAATTCGTGGGATTTTGCCTCATATTGTCTGAGATTTGCATATCAAACTCTTGGTCATCTTTCACTTCAAATGTAACTACCTGGTCCCCTACTTTTTTATTTTCTGCATCATTATAAAAACTCTCCTCATTTTTGATAAACACATGTTCAATATCTAGTTTATCACTTTCAAGGTCTGTTTTATTTTCACTGAAACAAAGCTTGGAAGATGACTGACAAGTGTATCCTGTGGACCCATAGTTCATGTGGCGAAAAACCATTTTCAAGACTGGGTTCTTTTTGTTCAGGACATACTTGGAATACTAGAGAGACAGATACTCCAAATGCCTCTTTCTCCCCACAATCAGGTATATTATTTGTCATGTTAGGAGGTATTTCCTTTCTGTTTGCTCCTTCTTTAAGGTGATCATATAGTGGCTCCTCCTTAGGACAGATGATAATTTTGTATTTCTCACAAACTTCACCTAACTTCTGCTTTAAGTCATTTGTGATGGTTTTAACTTCTCTTTCTCTTCTAATTTGCCTTGTTTGATCCACATTTTCTCATACTTCTCCACACAAGGAGGCCTTGAACATACAGATCTGTCCTGTCTACCACATTCCTTATTCATTTCTGGTTCTTGAGGCAATTTTTGCAGCTGCAAAAGTGGAAGATTAATTGGGTTGATTTGATTTTCAGGAGTCTTTTCTGTCAGGGTACATGTGTGCAAAATAATAGAATCCTTAAGTAATCCAGTATGGATAAATAAAAATCAGAAAATCATTAAAATTTCACTGTTAAACTTCTTAATTTATATGTAACTATGCACAAATCACCAGATCACAACTAAGAAGTGAGAAATAACTTGCCTTACTGGAAAATAGGAGAAAAACATTAACTCACAAACCCAATTTTGTCACTGCTTGACTGAATTAAACAATTCATACATGTTAAATCTACCAAAAATGAATTAGATGATTTTTAATGTTATAAATGCTTCTTCCCTTAAAAATAGTTCACCTCACGATACTGTATATGCAGAGTCCCTACAGCATGTCTGTTAAGGTTTTTGGTTTTCTTTTTTAAAGACTAATATCTGGAGAACAGACAAACTTTATATGACCAGGAGCCAAAGTCAATGAACACTAATCAGAAAGAGAAACCAATTCCTAAATTTTCATGTAAATTATATATTATGATAGTGCTATACATCAATACATATTGCCTGCTTACATTCAGTTATGTGTGTGCTAAGTCGTGTCTGACTCGTTGCGACCCCAAGGACTGTAGTCCACCAGGCTCCTCTGTCCATGGGGATTCTCCAAGCAAGAAGACTTCAGTGGGTTGCCACACCCTCCTCAACCCATGCCTTCCCAACCCAGGAATCGAACCCAGGTCTCCCACATTGTAGGTGGATACTTTACTGTCTGAGCCGCCAGGGAAGCCCGACAATACTGGAGTGGGTACCCTATCCCTTCTCCAGGGAAATTTCTCGACCCAGGAATTGAAACGGTGTCTCCTGCACTGCAGGCAGATTCTTTACCAGATGAGCTACCCAGGAAGCCCCGACATTCAGTTATATTATGTTCTAATATCCGCCAAAGAAAGTGGATAAAGCATTTTCAGTAATATCTACTGATTTCCCACCCTGAAATGAAATATTATTATTTGTACCCTAAAAACAAAGGTCCAATCTAGAAGTTTCGATTCTCTTAATAGGCAACTGGGTTGATTCTATGACCCCACTCTCTCCCTGAATGTTCATCCCTAAGTCAATTATGCCGAGATCACAGGCAGAATGAATCTTGCATCTTGACGTCAGTGAGTGGCGATTTCAATGGAAAACCTTGAGGCACTGGGAATGATTTCTCTTTACATGTATCTAGGTCAGGGCCGGTCATATTGTTCATAATTTCAACTGCTTAATCTTACGATTCAGTCTTTGATATCACCTTCTTATTCATGTAATGAAGTTATAAAAATGGAAGAAGTAAACAAGTCAGGAAATATTTTTCCCTCAATTCCAAAGACGAGCTATAAATTATAATAGATTCTAACAGTATTTTAAGTTCTAAAATTAAAGTGCTATAAAAACTATTAAATTATGAAACTATTAAATTAAATTATTATATTAAGTAATATAAAAACTACTAAATTAAAAAAAATTAAAATTATTAAATTATTATCTATCATTTCTAAAAGGGTAATTTTGAAAGGCGATTTTATTTGTTATGGACTCTGTTACACACTGTATTGTGTTGGTAAAGCATAGAAAATGGTATTAAACCAGAAATTTAAACTTATAGTTTTCCTTACCTGTGAATAGTTATTTTCATTTCCAGGAAGTTTTTCTTGTTCTTCCATGTCTAGTTCTCCTGACAAATCTGCATGTTTAGTTAAAATTACTTAGAAAATGTAGACAAAAAACATAATGTTTATTTAAAACACAGATTTAAAACATTGTACCAAATGACAGCTTAAGTCGAAATTTATCTTCAGATGAATATTTACTTGTTTAAGAAATACTTCCAATGATCAAAAACTTCAGCAAACCATTTGGGAAACACCAGATGTCACCAGGATACAGGCACACAAACACCTCAAAGATTAATTCATGAATTCACCCAAACATCAGTGAAAAAAACAATCAGAAACCAAACAGAATTTCAAAATACAGGGCAGACATATAAAGTCACAGTATATTCTCTTCTCTACTTCATCACAGTACCTTTTAACAACATGCCGAGCTTCATCTGAAATGCTTCCCTGGGCTCTTCTGACAATTTACTTTTCATCTTTTAAGACTCAACCTGCTTTGTGGAGTTGCCCTTGATTACAGCTTTCTTTCCCCAGATAAATAGGTCTCTCTTTCCTTGTAGCTACCTTAGTACTTTATAGATTTTTCTAGTGTATCTTTATAGACTTCTCCAGTGATAGATATACATCTAAACTGTGAATTATTTCTTCACATGTCTATCCTCTTGGCTTCTAGACTGCAGAGGACAAGCTGTTAAAAATCACCTTAGGATAAATAGTCTTTTTTTTTTTTTTCAATAATTACTTATCTACCTAGATCTCACAAAGAGTCCCAGAGTTCTAAATATAATCCTGCTATCCACTCTCAGATGTATGCTAAATACTAGACTAAACAAACTTGCTTCCTCCAAACTCTCTTTGTTATATATTATACTCCTGTGGTCAGAGGGAGAATGCAGACACCTTGCCAAGAGGTACTGTTTGGCTGTAGGTTGCATAAAAGGAGTCAGCACAGGCAGGTTTTGCCACAAAATCGAATCCGGATCCGTCAGAATGATGTTAAGGCTGTGCCCAGGTGGCGCACGGCTGAGTGCCCTGGGCTTCTGCATTACCTTGTTTGCTTTCCCTGTTTTCTGGCAGCGGAAACTGGCCCGGGTGATGGGGCATGGAATTCCCTACCAGAAACATCGCTGCGTTTTTCATCTTTTCTTTATCTGTTGCGGTCTTCTGTCCGAGTTCTGTGGGTGTTGACTGACTTTTGGTCACCAGTTGGGACACCAACAGACGCTGATCATCAACTTTCAAATGCCTGGCTCTTTGACAAGTCTCACTATTGAGGCTCAAAGTAGTTGAATCCCAGTCTGAAAAATGTGAAAACAAACTCTTCATTTATCAGGATCTGAGTAAGAACACAACTCTGACTACCTCGTACAAAGTCTTTCTTCAGAGAATCAGTTCCACATCCTTCTTCCCCTCAAACTCACTACACTTCAGAGGTGACTCTATCTTACATGTCACTGTCATTCATGAAGAGATGGTAACTAGCATGTCTCATTTCTTCTACTTTTCAATTTTCTAGCATTACTTTGATTCACTCAATCTTTATTATATACTCTGTATTTCATAAGAACTTTATTACTATTTTCCATCAACATACAAATGTTTTAGTAATAAAATTTATCTCTAATTTATTTTACATTTAATTTTGCATGATGACATTGTGTGTTCTAGAGACCACGGTTTTAGAAACACTTTCAATGAATGGTACTACTTTAATTAACGGTAGAAACCTAGACAACATATTAAAAAGCAAAGACATCACTTTGCTGACAAAGGTCCGTACAGTCAAAGGTCTGGTTTTTTTCAGTAGTCACGTGTGAGAGTTGGACCATAAAGAAGACTGAGTGCCGACGAATTGATGCTTTCAAATTGTGGTGCTGGAGAGACTCTTTAGAGAATCCTGGACAGCAAAGAGATCAAACCAGTCAATCCTAAGGGAGATCAATCCTGAATATTCATTGGAAGGACTGATGCTGAAGCTAAAGCTTCAATACTTTGTGCACCTGATGTGAACAGCTGGCTCACTAGAAAAGCACCTGATCCTGGGAAAGACTGAGGGCAGGACGAGAAGAGAAGGGCAAGAAGAGAAGGGGGAGGCAGAGGATGAGATGGTTGGACAGCATCGCTGATTCAATGGACATGAACTTGGGCGAACTCCGGGAGATGGTGAGGAACAGAGAGGCCTGGCTGCAGTCCATGGGGTCACAAAGAGTCGGGCACGACTTAGGAACTGAACACCACCACCATCAACAACTACTTAAATTTCAATGAGATGGTCTTTCCTCAATGTACATATATCTTCAGAACTCATTTTTAAAGCCTTGGAGAAACATCATGCCCTGGAGAAGGAAATGGCAACCCACTCCAGTACGCTTGCCTCTTGCCTGGAAAATCTCTTGGACAGAGGATCCTGGCGGGCTACAGTCCATGAGGTCGCAGTGGTTGAACACGACTTAGCGACTAAACAAAAACATCATAAACTTATATAAGAAATGATAGCCTTGTGTGTGACTAACTGTTTCCATGTGAAAATAGGTAAGTCTAGGACCACACTAGATCCAAAGAGCACAGAGGACCATGAGACAGGAATGAATACACCTCAAAAAACTAAAACTGTTAGATCTGAATTTCTTGAGAGAAGTCAAAGAAACAAGTAAGAAATGTAAAAGTGAAACTTAAAACCCTGTGTCATCACAAGGGCCCCTTTATCAATTTATATCCAGCCACTTCAATGGTTTAAAACAGTGGTTCTCAAGTGTCCCCTCAGAATCGCTGAAGTCCAGAGACCCAACGGGTCAGGGGGTCCAAGAGGTCAGAACTCTTTTCACAACAACTCTAAACGATACCTCCATTCTCATGCTGTTCTGCGGGCAGAGTGGCATTCTTCAGAGACACGATATGTGATATCATAACACTAAGGACTAATGGAATTAGCAACTATGATGGTGTGTGCTTGTATTTTAAGTTTTTCTATTTTCCAATACAGTGAAAAACAATGAACAATGTTCCCTGTAATTCTCAATAATTTTTAGAAGTATAAAAGGATCCTAAAGCCAAAAACTTTCAGAATCACTGTTTTGAAAGATTATGTCTGTCGAATCTAAGGTATGAATACTTCTCCTACTTCTAATAATCAAAGACAACACAAACACACACACACACAGTCTGCTAATCAAAACATCCCATTGGCCTACATTCATCTTTGTAAGAACACTAAAATGAAATAAGTATAAGCTGAAATACAACTGACATATTAGCAAGTGAAGCTTTACTCTAGGGAAAGGTCAGAGTTCAGATACACATTTTTGGACACTGGAAAAATCTTAGGGTCTAATAATTAATCTCTGAGAATTGCTGAGAGTATAGAGATTCCAAACTGAGAATTTAATGCAGAACGAAACATATACAGAAACATCTTGAGTTCAAGCTTACATGTTAAACATTTCTTGTTCATATGCTTGTGAATATCTTTTCTTTTAAAACATGGATACCAACAATAACATTTGCCTTATGTTTGTCCAATTCTTCAATTAAATTTGCAAAAAGAAGTTAGGAGTACAAAGAGCTAGCATTTCAAACATTTCAGTGTCCCTCTTTCCTGAAGGGACTTCGGTAAAGCATCAGCTTGCAATGCAGGAACCAGAGTTAAGTGTGTATTGCAAAATTTACCTGAGTTAGATGTCTGTGCATCCTTCATTCTGACTGCTTTATTAGGAACAGAATCTTTCACTCCGACGGCCTGCTGAATGGGTTTGGAAACAAGTTGATTAATAAACAATGTACATATGATACAATCCACAGTTCATAATTCAAGATAAAACATAAACGTTTTTACCTTCACATTAGGATATTTCTCAGGAGACTCTAAAAGGCAAAAGGGACATAGAGTTAACTACATGTAAATATGAAAGCCAGCTGTACATTCATGCAGACTTAGTACCGAGCAGAATCCTCATGCTCTGCCTTGGCACTGAATACATTCAGTTTTAGAGTCTTGTTTTTAGGGGGATCTTAGGACACTGGTAAGACAGACATATGAATCCACTAAAAATAGTGAAGAAAAAAATAGTAATACAGGTTCACCAAAATGTGCAGTTAAGATTCCAAAAGTAACATTACGTTTTCAATGGCTTTATAAAACATTAATGTGCACACAGACCAATGTGAACATGCTGACTGATGAGGAGAAAATGGATCTTAATCAGAGGAGGAAGTCATAAAGAAGAAGATAAACGTGAAAGCTGATGGTAAAATGCAACAGCATATCTTGAATGAAACATGGACGTTATCATTTACACCATTATATGATAAGTATTTATTGTGTTCTTCAATCTGTCCATTCATTTAAGAAGTGCACAGTTGGGATGACAGTTCACCAGAATGTATAATTCATTTCTCATCAAAGACAGGGTAATGGACTGATTAACCTGGATATATACTTGTGGAAAAATGGCTCATAAAAATATTCGTGTTTTTTTCCATATCCATGTGGGCTACTGGCATGCCTACATGTCTTGGCTCTTCTAGTTTAGCCATCTTAAAGTTTCTCGATCCACTCATGCACGAAAGTATACAAGACACATCTAGGAAATAATGTATAATCAATTCTCATATTCAAATACAATTATCAAAAAGGAAATAATACATTGAATTGACACAGAATTATTAGAAATTAAAAATCTTGCATGTTTCAAAATCAGTGTAGTATTTATTAAAAGTATTTTTAGCATTTAAGGAATGAACCCTATTAATCTGTTTGGCTTCAAAATTTAGTTTGGTTTGGTACATCATGGTAATGCTTCAAAGGATTTCTATGAAACAACTTTCAAAAAATCAGCTATCATTTTAAAAAAAGAATTCAATGCCGTCATTTTCAAATTAATCTAATTTGAATAACAAATACCGGTACAACATATACCTCTGATGCCTAAGAGTTACTCGGAGGGGCTGCCGATTCCCCCACTTCTAGCACTCCCTCCCACCTCCAAGATTCTCTGGAGCAATAATGATCTTATCTCTTTTCAGGGTAAATACACTGAAGTCATCTAGAAGGAGCGCTCTCAAGTGTCCTCATCAACTCCAAACTCACCTCCCTAAGGCCGTGCTTACCTCCCTTTGTCCTTTCACTAGATTCTCTCCTCTCTAAATGGTAATCTCTGGATCTGTGGACTCAAATCTTCCCCCTTGACATCCTTTCTATGGATCATCCCTACCATGTCTTTCTCCTTCTTTGCTTAGCAATGGTATCTTACACCTATAACTGCTACTTCAACTCTTTGCTTCCATCTGGCTATAAACACGCTCAGAAGGAAACACAAAATAACGCTTTTCCTTGATCCAGTTATGTCCTGCACTATCCAATGCTCTTCTTCCAGATTTCTCTAAAGGCAAGGCTACACCCTTGCTACTTGGACAGCTTGTTAGAAACAAAGACTCTCAGATCTCCTGCTCAGCATGTGCACTTCACACATGGTCCCCAAGTGACTAACTAAAACTTGAGAAACTGGTCTACATGGAGTCTGCTTCTACATGACTTCAACTTAATTCATGCTCCTGAAATCTCAGCCTCTGTTTCCTCACGCCAACACGTCCCCCGAAACTGAAATGGCATTAGAAGCTGGAAAGCTTCCAGTGGACTCTCTATGAGGCTGTGGGTTCCTTGGTCTCCCCATCACGCCCCCTGCTCTCTCCTTCTTTCCAGCTCTCTTGTTTTGTCCCATGTGATACCATCCTAGACAGCAGCAACATTTCATATGACATCAATTTGCACACGTTTACAGCTGAGCTCCTATGCCTGCACTCCACAGAAGATAAAACACAGCTCTGCATGCCTGGAGACGTCAGGTCTGAATGTCTTCCTAATAACGAGTACAACAGGAAGAGGGGGGAGAACGTTGCAGTTCTTCCCTGACAAGTTATGGTGTCGGAGGCTCACTTCAAATCCATCGTCCATGTCAAATACTCTCCCTTTATCTAAGGACCTTCATTACTTATTCCACCTTCCCCCACAGACCCGTGCTTCCTTTTGCTCATTTCCTCCCTGTACCCTCTGCCTCTCTCATCTTTCATTCTCTCTTGCCTCTTGTTTCTTCACCTTCCTTAGGGCGTAGATTTATCTTGAAATAGAAGTAATAATTTCCTTTTGGTCATGTGTCACATGGGATCTTAGTTCCCTGACCAGGGAATGAAACTGCACCACCTGAATTGGAGAGTCTTAACTGGACAAAGTCTTAAAACACTGGACCGTGAAGCAAGTCTAAGAACTAATAATTTAGCTTCTTAAACTGGATTCTCAATGTAATCTCTGGTAGACACCTGATAAGATGCATGATTGCCCTCCTTTTCTCGTCTTTTTTCTCACTACCCATCTGACAGGTGATTTTCTTTGCCTATTAGAGTATATCAGCATTCCCGTTTTCAATCAACATTCTGCCAAATGATTTTTCTGTAAAATACAGTTCTTACCTTCTATTTGTTCATTTAATGTCTTTTTTTCTCTTTGACCAGCAGTTCCAGGCAAATGACCCACATACTTCTGTGGAAGGCTCTCAGAAACACTCTGCTAGAATGAATGATAACAATGGGTTGCATGAAGAGTTCCTAATCCCTTTTGAAGAAAGCACCCTACTTTTAACCCGGTTAAGACAGATTTTGCCAAGATCCCACAGTTGCTATGTGACAGAACCAGGATGCCGAATTCAAACACGGTTCTGCATCACCAAGCAGTGGTTGCCACATCTAAGAGATCAGCCCCTTCTTATCTCCTTCCATAGCTGCCACCTTCAAACAGGGCACCGTTACTTTATGTTACTTCAAGTACGGCTGCCATAAAGATACTCTGCACGTGCTACGTAAGCTATCCAAAATGCTTTGCACTTACTGAAACATCACTAAAGCTAACTGCTGTTATTATAACCCCACATATTCATTACTATTTCCCATGCTTTTGCTGCTCTTGAAATGTTCCCTGCAGATCAACTTGACAATCCAAATGTAGTAATACCTTCAAGCTTCAAGCACTATCTTGTGGTAAAAAATCACAGTTGAAATGAAAATCAAAACTACAATGAGATACCACCTCACACCAATCAGAATGGCCATCATCCAAAAGTCTGCTGTTGCTGCTGTTGCTTGGTCGCTTCAGTCGTGTCCGACTCTGTGCCACCCTATGGACTGAAGCCTGCCAGGCTCCCCTGTCCATTGGATTCTCCAGGCAAGAATACTGGAGTGGGTCGCCATGCCTTCCTTCCCAACACACGGATCAAACCCAGGTCTCCCACTGCAGGCCGATTCTTTACCACTCAGCCACAATGAGATACCACCTCACACCAGTCAGAATGGCCATCATCAAAAAGTCTACAAACAATGAATGGTGGAGAGGGTGTGGAGGCTGCTGGTGGGAAGGTAAATTGATACAACCACTATGGAAGATGCTATGCAGATTCCTTCAGAAACTGGAATAAAACCACCATATGACCCAGCAATCCCACTGCCAGGAGTATACCCTGAGGCAACCAAAGTGGAAAAGACACATGCACTCTGATTTTCATTGCAGTGCTATTTATGATAGCTAGAACACGGAAGCAACTTAGATGGCCATTGACAGATGAATGGATGAAGATGTGGTGGTACATATATACAAAGGAACATTACTCAGCTGTAAAAAGGAACGCATTTGAGTCAGTTCTAACGAGGTGGATGAACCTAGAGCCTATTATACATAGTGAGGTAAGTCAGAAAGACAAATATAAATATCATATACTAATGCAGATGTATGGAATCTAGAAAGAGAGTACTGATGAATTTATTTGCAGGGCAGCAATGGAGAAACAGACATAGAGAAAAGACTTACAGGCACGGGGGAAGGGAAGAGGGGAGAGGGTGAGATGGATGGAGAGAATAACATGGAAACTTACAATTCCATCTGTAAAACAGATAGCCAGTGGGAATTTGCTCTATCACTCAGGGAACTCAAGAGGGTCTCTGCAACAATCAAGAAGGGTGGGATGGAGAGGGAGATGCAGGGGGGTTTGGGAGGGAGTGGACGTGGCTGTACCTATGGCTGATTCTTGTTGGTGTCTGACAACAAGAAAACAACAAAATTCTGGGAAGCAATTATCCTTCAGTTAAGAATAAATGAATTTTTTACAACCCTATTTGAACATTCACATGGTTGACTGTTTCTTTCCCTGTAAAGAGCACACTGACGACTCTTATTTCCTATCTATGTCTTCTGGATTCCAGGGAAAGATGAAAGGAATGATCTAGACATAAAAAAAAAAAGGAGCAAAACGATGATTATCCAAGTTGAAGGTTTAAAAGTTTTCAAATACATTTATGATGATCAAGCAGGACTCAGTAATCACATCAGGAAAGAAAGAACAAACTAAAAAAATCAAGTAACCAAAATGACTAACTTTCTGATATGGAAGAATTTACATGTTAGTTTCACATGTATAACAAAGAATTGACATGGTAATTTAACATCTATAAACACTGAAATTAATAAAGTTCCTTAAAAAAAAATGGGGGGCGGTCTGAAGATGGCAGAGGAATAGGACGGGGAGACCACTTTCTCCCTCACAAATTCATCGAAAGATCATTTGAATGCTGAGCAAACTCCAGAAAACAACTTCTGAATGCTGGCAGAGACCATCAGACACCCAGAGAGTCAGCCCATTGCCTTCGAAAGGAGGTAGGACAAAATATAAAAGATAAAAAGAGAGGCAAAAGAGGTAGGGATGGAGATCCATCCCAGGAAGGGAGTTGTAAAAGAGGAGAAGTTTCCAAACACCAGGAAACACTCTCACCGGCGGGTCTGTGGGGAGACTTGGAATGTCAGAGGGCCATGTAACAAGGAGGAAAAATAAATAAATAAATAAACCCCACAGATTATGTGCCTAACGGCAACTCCCAGTGCTCGCATCCGCCACCAGCAAGGGGGGGCTGCATTGCTTATGTTGAGGACCAGGCCTGAATGCCCTGAGGGCAATCTGAGGGAACTAACATGAGATAGCAACCTAAACTGTAGGACAGCCAGAGAGAGAGAGGGACAAAAGAGAGAGAGAGAACTACCCCGCAAAAAGCCCTAAACTAAGGCACTGCCAGGCCCGCCCACAGAACAAAGGACTGAGTGAATACCAGAGGAGAGCTAGCCCACTGCAGACCACCTCATGCCCCGCCGGAGGCAGGGAGGCAGGAGGCGGGCAGCCAGAGCTGGAAAGAGGCAAACTCGGCCCCAGAGAGGCATCCTCTACCAAACTGCAAGCACACACCCTGTCACTAACCAAAACTTCTTGGGATTCTGGATGGTTGACATCCGCTGGGAGGGTCCCAGCCAGAGATCAGTTCCCCAGAAGAGACGCATGGCACACCAGAGATGGCCACGCCCATTGCCACCCAGTAAACTCAGTGGCTGGGACCCGGGAGGTGATAAGACGCAGCCCCCACCTGGGGAGATGACGCTCGCCAAGCAGCTGGTCACCTGAGCTGCTCAGACCTGGGAGGGGCACAAAACGCAGGCCCAACCCGAGTCTGCACCTTTGTGGAGTACACGAGAACCTGAAACTGAGTGGCTTAGACCTGGGAAGTGCACACAATCCAGGGCCCGCCTCAGACACTTTCCCCGCAGAGCAACCTAGAGCCTGAGAAGTGTACACTGGGAAAGTGCACACGCCATGAGCGGGGGCAAACCCAGTGCGGCCGAGACACTGTGCGCACTCCCCACACACGCCGGTGATATTGCTTGCAGTGTTCCTCCATCCCCACAGCAGGGCTGAACAGGTGAGCTTAAGTAAGTGACCACCTTCGCCCCTTGTGTCTGGACAGAAGTTAGACACTTGAAGAGACCAGCAAACAGAAGAAGCAAAATCAAACAGAGGGAACCACATTGGAAATGACAGGTGCAAAAGATTAAAACCCTGAAGTTAGCAGTGACTATGTTGGAAGGGGCCAATAGATCTTGAGAGGTATAAGCTGGATCAAGGAACTATCTGAAATTGAACTGACCCCACAATGCCCGCAACAGCTACAGAGAAATTCCTAGATCTATTTGTACTATTATCATGTTTAAATTTTTTTTTAATTTTTAAGTCCTCTATTACTCCTTTAATTTTCATTTTTACAACCTACTATTACCTTGCAAAAAAAAAAAAGGACCCTATTTGAAAAGCAAACTTCATATATATAGTTTATAATTTTTTGTGACTTTGTTTTCTTTTCTTAATATTGTGTTTTTGAGAGTCTAACCTCTACTCTAGATTTTTAATCTTTGCTTTTAGGCATTTGTTATCAATTTTGTACCTTTAAGAACTCAATCTGCAGTACTCATTTTTACTTGGGAGTGTGATTACTGGCTTGATTGCTCTCTCCCCCTTTTGACTCTCCTTGTCTCCACAAGGTCACCTCTATCTCCGCCCTCTCTTTTCTCTTCTCTACCCAACTCTGTGAATCTCTATGTGTATTCTGGGCTGTGCAGAACACTTAGGGAACTGATTACTGGCTGGATCTGTCTGTCTCCTTTTGATTCCCCCTTTTATCCTCCTGGCCACCTCTGTCTCCTTCCTCCCTCTTCTCTTATCTGGGCAACTACGTGAACCTCTCTGAGGGGTCCAGACTGTGGAGAGCACATAGGGAAGTGATTACTGGCTAGCTTGCTCTCTCCCCTTTTGATTCCCCCTTTTCGCCTCCTGGTCACCTCTATATCGCTCCTCCCTCTTCTCTTCTCCAAGTAACTCTGTGAACCTCTCTGGGGATCCCTCAGTGTGGAGAAACTTTTCATCATTAACCTAGACATTTTATCATCAGTGCTATATAGATGGAGAAGTTTGGAGGCTACTGTAAGAATAAGACTGAAAACCAGAGGCAGGAGGCGTAAGTCCAAAACCTGAGAACACCAGAGAACCCCTGACTCCTGGGAACATTAATCCAAAAGCCTCATCCAAAACCCTCCATACCTACACTGAAACCAAGCACCACCCAAAAGCCAACAAGTTCCAGAGCAAAACATACCACGCAAATTCTCCAGCAACGCAGGAACATATCCCTGAGCTTCAATATACAGGCTGTCCAAAGGCACACCAAACCCATAGACATCTCAAAACTCACTACTGGACACTTCATTGCACTTCAGAGAGAAGAGATCCAGCTCCCCCCACCAGAACACCAACGCAAGCTTCCCGAACCAGGAAACCTTGACAAGCCACCTGTCCAACCCCACCCACAGTGAGGAACCCCCACAATAAAGAGGAACCACAAACTGCCACAATACAGAAAGGCCACCCCAAACACAGCAATCTAAACAAGAGGAAAAGGCAGAGAAATACTGAGCAGGTAAAGGAACAGGATAAATGCCCACCAAACCAAAGAGGAGGAGATAGGGAAGTACCCGAAAAAGAATTCTGAAGAATGATAGTGAAAATGATCCAACATCTTGAAAACAAAACGGAGTTACAGATAAATAGCCTGGAGACAAGGATTGAGAAGATGCAAGAAATGTTTAGCAAGAACCTAGAAGAAATACAAAAGAGTCAATCAATAATGAATAATGCAATAAATGAGATC